TAATATGCTCATGTTGTTCTTTCCTTCGTTTTTTCATGAGTACATAGCCGACTTAACCGACACTAGCAACTTTGGCGTTATACAGAACTTGGATAGGAAACGATGTTCGATAGAGGATGAAACCGTTGGCCGGCTAATAGCCGTCTGAGCAAATCTGCTTGCAAGCCATGTACCCTCAAACAAGATGATGCTAGACGGAGCTACAGCATAGGACAACTAAGGGACAAATTGCTAGACAGAGCATGGCACACCTAGATAGAAGTTCTTTTAAGGTTAGCGAAAATCAAGATTAGTTAATTTTGTGTTTGGCATTATGGCGGCATGGAGTACTAACACACTTCTACTACGTCTCAAGAAGATTCAAAACTGTCGACTCTAACAGAATGACAACTAACAAAATAGTGTTTCGGTAGATTCGTTAAAACAGCGTGAACTTTCAATAATAATAATAGTAGTAATGCATTGCCTTAATATTTTCTCACATATCCTTTTTATTTATTAAAGAACAACGTGGAAGGGTATTATTGTTTATATGATTATATCAATCAGTTTTTTTTCGACGTACGACCGTGAAGAAGCCACGCTTCGGAAGTTATTTTTCTATTTTTTACTTTAGCAATACATGTCCCCTTCAGCTATTCGGCTCTCTTCTCTTGTCACGGGCTTTGCTGCAATTGCGGTTCCATCCAAGACCTTCAAAAAACTTAACCAACCTGCGCTATATATATACCAAGCAGCGGACCAAAAGACGCCACGAATATGGAAAATAGGTTGGTTTAACTCGGAGGCGACTGGAATGAACAGATACAGGCATTTCAAATGTGTTTGTTCGGAGTTCAATGGAATAGGTCGAACACCTTGCGGAAACGCGTCTCATCTGATCAGATTTATTTGTAGATAAAGATAATACGATAGGCGGTTGATTGGTCAGCTTTAGGAGAGTAAAGTCAGGTCACATAAAAACATAATCGCGGATGACAGTTGCAGACAATATGGATCAACCAAAGCAAATGGTAAGTTACACGATTTGTATTTTCCGTTTGCTACAGCATGCGACGCGACTGAGTGGTATGCGTTTCTCACGTAAGGGTTTTCGGTTCTCAGGACCGTGCCTAACGCTGTTTCAGACGCTGATCAGCGTGAATGCGAAGTCTGTGGGCGAAGGTTTGTCCCGTACGTCTAAACTGAATAGTTAGGTTGTGTGAGACGTCCTGCTTCCTGCGGACGCCTGTGTTAGATGTGCGACTATCAGACTAGGGTATGAAATTAGCCCTATTGGTGCTATGAAGGACGGCACTAGGTTTCGTTGTAGGTGCGTATATCGCAATTATTAGGCAGTCGCAGTAATTGAAACTAGGAGAAACTGTTCCACCAAATAGCACAAGCGGTTAGGTATCTTCCAAATATATGCTACACGTTGTACACATATAGTTGCAGCTTTGCATACTCAATGTGGTTGAAACTGATGAGAATCTGGCTGGACCAGAAACACCCATTGGTTGCTAACGGATAGTAGAGAATTAGGTCTAAAGACCTGGAGGGATTCGCCGGTTTAGTATTTGTGTTTCGTTGCCCGCTATAGTAAAAACAGTCCTGAATGGTGCCTGACTCAGGAGTTGAAGCGAATACTCCGTTATCATCTCATTCATACGATACCAGTCGATCAGACGCAGAATTGCCATCCAACGATAGGCAGCGATTCGTTATGGAGGGTCTTCCAATGTAATAACAATGTTATACTATGTGTACGAAAACGTTTCCCAAATGAACGATGTACATGTCGTGAAATAGAATAAATATTGCAACGTTCTATCTATCGTTCAGGCTTTCGATTATATTTTAGGCATAACTGTATACCTGATCTATCAACGGATGGCATTTTCCCGTTGAGAGATCTTTGGTACTTCCTGGGAGCCTCATTCAGGATAGTATCTTTCAATAAAATATCGGATGCAAGAATCCTTTCATTACTACCTTATAATCTAAATACATATCCTACAATAAGTCGATTTTTGGACCGGAGTTGCAGGTTTCGCATAAGAAGGTCAATACGCACCGTAAACTTTATGACTTTTAGAATCCGCCTGTCACCATCACTTGGGTCATGGGTCGATTGGCTCACATATAAACAATTATCGTAAGCTGTGATTTGCATATCGTATAGGTTCAATTATATGTCTGGTTATGCTCAGACATGGAATTAAGTTCGCCGTATGTATATTTAGCTTTGCATCATTTGCTGACCCGTGGGCTCTAGCCCATTTTAATGTATGCTTATATTTCAGTCATTCTACTTTCTTCGGTTTTGCAGGTGTCTATCTATGCTTGTAAGAGCGATGCAAGGGGATTTGGGGGAGAGGGGCGAGATATGGGGAAGAGGGCACCTCACATTCGAATCCAGCGCATGGGCTCAAAACTAAAACACGAATAGATTTTTGCCTTTTTATCAAGCATAGCTTTTATGTTCAACTTGAATGGACTTCGTGCCTTTTTCATGCTTTCAGGTGACTTTTATAGAGAGAGCTTCAACTGGCCATTGATGAAGGGGTAGAATCGTTGAAGAAATTCGAGAGCGGCAAGGGAGGTTCCTCGATGTGTTTCGTTCAGATCTGTAACATGCATACATTCAGATTCGATTCAAGCGGATCGAAATTAAAACTTCAGTCATTCTCTGTTAACGAACTCTACATTGAGAAGACGAAATAAGACATACAGGTTAGAGCAAGAAATTGAATGTTTATTGAATCTTCTTTTGAACCCGCCTCAAATTCCGTTTTGCACCTTCTCCGATGCTGCCCGTGCGCATTGGATGAAGTAGCAACGACACTGGCTTACCTGTACAATTGACAGTTGATGGAGCTTTCTGCTCGAAGGTATTGAAAGCAATTTACTTATCAGGCAATTTTTGAAAGATATTTTTCTTTGGTCCTGTTAGACGGCTCGAGTTGTGATGTCCTAGTTGCTTCCAATGGCCAGTTGAGGCTTACTCCGGGTGAACGTATCTTGGCATAGTCTCGTATGTCTACGTCGATGTTTGGACGATTCGTGACTACGTATAGGGAGGGCTCCGTTTATGTTCTGCTTATAGTTGCTTGTCGTTGTACTGATGTTATTGTTATCGTTGTTGCTGCTGCTGCTGCTGCTATTATTTCTGGTTCGTATATATTCTGGTAAAATTCCATATACGTATACGTAGTACGTATATAGTACGTAACATACGAATCGAACGCGCCCTACATATAGTAACAATGATAATAATAACCGTTACTATCGGTAAATTTAATCCTTAAACAATCCTAAGCCAACGGGTTTCGTTAGGGAACTCCATTGAAGCAGTAGTCTTTTGCGAACGCTGAATCGTTGCGTTTGGTTTTTGCATTATAGAAGTTATAGAATATGCGCTAACGAACAATACCGACGAGTATAAGTACTAGCTATTATAGTACTATATTAATAATAACAATGGCAATCATACACGTCCAATGTACAATGCATACATGTATAAAAAAAGCCTTTTTACGCCCTTCTGCCCATAGGTCACTATGTATTGTTTAGCCTTATCTATTCTATGTCTGTGTGGTTGTTGGGCAACATTGTTATTATGGTCATTGTAGTGATGACATCCAACTCTGATTCGCTTCTCGCCGAGTTTCCAACAAGTTCTTATCACTTCTATAAATATAATGACATACTATATATACCTATATATATATATATGTGTGTGTATACATCGCACCGAAGACAACTTCAACCAAATTTGAAGCTCAACTGACAGAAAGCGTCATTTTTTTTTTGTATCGGATTATGTTGCTATAATAATAATTATTATTATTATTATTGATTATTGTCACGAGTAATGTCAACTCAATTAGCATCATTGTACGATGGTATATACCAAAAAATAATCATGTCATCAATATGAATTTCTACTAATAACAAGATGCCTAGCGGATTGGGATTAAACGTGCTATCTCCTAGCCGTCAAGCATAAGGATATTCACCTCATCCAATGATTACTCAAACGTTTGTAATATCTCTGTGCACGATAATCATCGATGAATATCTACTACGGTACGCAATTACTAGAACGGATCGCATCTTTAGGACCTCTTTGCTCGTTGAACTACTTTGGCCCTTCTAATAACCCATACTATTGTACAACGTTCCACAGCCGCTCGCATGTTCGGCCATAACGTACCACAAATAGCATTAAATAAGACATTGTGGTACGTTCCGCCTAATCGATCATCGAAAGCTAGCATCATCCATAGAAGCTCGCTATCGTATCGATTAACACCAGCTTGGTTGATTGGTTGGTTATGATAATTCGCGTGTGGGCGTAATCGCTCATAGGCAGCGTCACTGAGAAACGATGTTTCTGTCTCTTCACGTATTTGGTTAGAGGTGGCCTGAATGAATGGTAAACGGACCTATTCGTAAAGTGTAATTAGATGTAGTACATTCGGCGGGCCCTACAGACAAAAGCGGCAATAATAATGGTGATAATATTAATTGTGACGGTACTCCGAGAACAGCACGCTGGAAAAATTCGAAATACTTCTTGCTACGGTTTAATCTCTAGCAGGGATCTCAGCGTTTGGTACGAGCCGAATGATGGAGCACATCTATAACGCCTATTTGGCTTTTCGGAGAATTTCTTTGCAAGGCTGTTCCTTAGAGCCCTGAGACTAGTCGTTGCTAAGTTCTTGATGCATGAATTTTGTTTAGTTAATATAGCTCGCTTATGTATCTATATATATATATATATATATATATATATATGCTTTAGTTCTTGTTGTTGTACTTGAGAAGCAACATCGCCATACTTCTTATAGGCAGCGGGCAACTCCTCTTGCCCTGTGCATGTTCCGTCGTTCTATAGCGCTACTTTTATCATATTAGAGCACGTTATTATTATTATTATTTTTTTTTTTTCTGTATATATATATATATATATATATATATATATATATATATATATATATATATATGTATGTATTGGGTTTATTTATTTACGTGTATAGCCACTTGCTATGTTATGGTATATATATAATCTATTAGTAATAATACAGTTGATTCCAATAATAGATCTTCCACCTGATCACCTTGTCTCTGTTTATATTTTCATTTGTAGCCAAGTGATGCGGTAATTTTCTTTCCAACTATTATATGTATATTTGTAGTCCCGTAAAACTGTGCAGACAAGGTTTAGGTATCGACGTTGCGTGTTCCCACATCTCTACTAGGTTTGTTTGGAATATCAAATCTTTTTCTCTCGTGCCATTTCTTAGCAGCAATGGTCGTACCATCAATCGAATCGTTCAAACATATTCGTTCACACGCTGCTTGTTATATTTGGGTAGGAACCTTTGCATTTGGTACAAGAGCATATTAAGAGCTTCCAGTGTATAAAGTCAGCTCCGTTTCACCGTAACGTAATTCACCGTTTCCTTATTTCCCTTATATATCTTGCCTCGTGTTTTATCGAGCTCATGTTTCCAAATAATATTTAGCTTGCCCGAACGCGATTCCATTTAATGTCGTTTTATGTCATTGTGTAATGCGTACATGCCGTCATTTCCGCTATGTCAACTCTGCGACAAATAGCGTTTGTCTCACGTAGAAATAGCAGTACACCACATACATGAGTCTGTCCTTGTCGTTGTTATTTTTATTATAACGTACGTTTTCTAATATATATATATATATATATATATATATATATATATGTATATATAATGTCTGTTTTCTTGTAATTGCAGCTGGTGTTGTGTTCGCTGTTGTAGTTTCTATCTCCGAATGCCCTCAGGGGCTGCTGATCGATCGGCGTGTCCTGTTGCTTGGCGTTAAGGCATGGCAAATTCTAGCGGTGGCGTCTGTTTCGCTGCCTTTCCGTATAATGATCATGATTTAAAAAAATGTCCGTTAGCTTCTTGTTTTGTCGGGGGTTGCCCCCTTTAAGTTTACATTATATTTCGATTTTTTGTATAGTTTTTTGTTTGATTCTCTGCTTTGTTAAGCTGTGCGTGTACTATCGTCAACAACTGCTAGACCTCTTTACTAATCGTGGGTGATTTTTTCGAACCACGAGCGTCCGATATGCTCGTGCTAGAATAGCTTAATCCGCTTTATTTATTAGAGTCAAGTGTATTAGCAGAAGTATAGTTAGAAGCATCGATATTTTAATTATCTTCTTCGGGAAGGATCTAGCCATAATACTTCTCGGCGTTGGTCTTCCGTGAAATCAGCGTAGTCAGTATTGATGTTAGTGTCACGTTTTGTCGATAAAGTTGACTTCAGCATTTTAGTTAGATGAACCTATTAACAAACGAAAACGTTAAATTGAAGTGATTACTAAAAACGAAAAACGAAGACTGGTTTTAAAAGAACAATGCACGTCTGGGATAAACCTGATTATTGATTACCGCAAATGGTGCAGTCAAGGATCCGACTATTTCATAAAGACACACACACATATATATATATATATATATATATATGATACCCATATATATATATATATATGATACCCATATTAGACATGGCCAAAATGCAGATGATCCCCAAAGCGGATGGACGTACACATTTGGTGGCCGAATACTACCTTTGAATCAAATTCTAATAAGTATACGAGCCAGACAGGGCTGTACAGCGGTACAAAGCTATGCACATATATGCATAGAGGTTCTTTTTTCTCATTCGTAACAACTCACATTACCTAATAACTGAAACATACGAAATTTCATGCAGCATAAGCTTATGAACTTCCCGTGCAATTTTCCTTACCCGTACCGGTATTCGAAGCAGAACAGGGTGTTGACCAGCGTACGCAGTATAGCCGATAGAAGCTGAACGAAGCGACAATACATTCGACACAATGTACGAATATTTAGTAGGACAGTTCCGTGCAATGACGCAGTGGCTTTGAGTTATCCGGTTTGATGACCAAGATAAGTTGGCCCAGTGGCTCTAGTGATCACCAGCCAAGTAGACGATCTCTTCCGTTCGCACGACGGCCACCCGAAGCGAACGTGCACGTTCCGTTGTTGTTTACAAGAACATCGTTTTGGTCTTGAACGGCCGGCGCGTATTCAAGATGGCTAACTGTCACTTTTATTCGTAATACGTATTGTTGTCTGGTAGACATGATAATTTGTAACAGAGAACAATTAGTTTAGAGAACAATTATTTGCATCTCGATGCTTTCCCAATGGTCGAAATTAAGGCGATCGGCTTACACTAACAACCTTTGAGGCAAAAAGTCGACCGACGAAGCCGGTCTGACTATTCATTGCTTTTATAATCCGAGAGTTCGCGGTCCTCTAGAGTTTGCTTTTGTGCTTTCCGCTTTCTATGAATATATAACTCTCTCGTTCTTAACTACCATAAAATAAATTACTATTAACAGTTCTTTTTTGGCGCACCCATCTTCGAAATGTTTCGTTTCGTCTATAAGCGAATGAGTAACATATGCAAATGTCAACTTTTCCCACTACGCTACGGAGCCACCAAAGACATATTAGTTCAATGTTGAAATTTCGTCGCGTACTCGAGTTGCCCGAGCAATAGCAGGCCATACCGAGCACCCCTATGGACCTCATTAGTTATTCAGCTCAATGAAGCAACAATATTTAATCGTAGCTGAACTAGAGACGATTGTCGACCCGTGGTCAAGATTGCCGACGATAGTTCTATGTTGAACCAGTAGCATGATTCATACCACCAACATGTTGTGAGTGATTTGTTCGTGAATCCTCTCTTTATCTCGATTTCCGCTATATCAGCATCTCCATAATTGCAGAAGAAATCGCTGTTGTAATAGCAGTAGCAACTAGAGGCGCTCGCGTCTGGGAATGGGACAGGATGCCATCAAAAGAACCCGCCGAGTCTAGAAAACTTGTTCGCAAGACCACCCACACCACGGGTAAGTGCCGAAACTCTTCCAGTGAGATTTTGGGTGACGTTCTGGACTCTATTAAGCGGGGAACCCTGACCACCTGGAAGGTCGCTGCTCGCCGCGGCATTCGTCGTCGTTGGCCTGCCAGCGTTTTCCCCGGTGAAGTCCCTAAAGGCAGAGAAAGAAGAATAGTCGCAAACAGCGGGTGAGCAAAGAAGCCCAAAAAAAACGTCTATCAGAGTTTAAACCGTTTAGTCCAGCACAGAAGAAAATGGTGCAGTTGACATACGTCGTGCATATAAAAACAATTTCATGCGGGAAACCGGATCTTTTCTAAGCAAGACGTTTGGAAGTTGTGAAAGTGCCAAGCAGATACTAGCTAGAATATCCGAAAATTTCAGCCGCATAATCTGTTTTGTATCGTTCAACGCTATAGTTCCGTCATTTCTATTGGTCAGATAAATTTACAGTAAGTTCCACACTAACAAATCCATAGTACGCTGTTAAAGTTACACGCGATAAGTTAAGTGTATCTATATAGCATGGATATAGATTCATTTCATCGACGACGTGTAGCAGAGTCGAATAAAAAAAAACCTAAATTCATTACCATCTGAGAAATTGAGCCTATCTACAAGTTACTAGGGTAATAACTGCCGAATTAACTAAATCAATTTCTTTGCTCTTTCAATGTAGCTGTGTCAAGCCAAAATATATGCTTTTAGCTATATGGACCTTTTTCACGCTATTCCCCTTATAAGCCTCCATCCACCCACATACAACTTACAGAAGAGACCGATGTGAATCGGCGTAGGATTCCACCAAGGCTTCTAAACAAGAAAAACATAATAAATGTAAGTGGCGTTAATCTTGATAAACTTAAAAAATATACAAAATCAAAACTTAAGCACCATAGGGGCTTGTTATAAATTGAACTGTATAAGCAGCAAATATACATTAGAATAGCAAAAATAAAAATTAATTTAACAAATGAGAAATATCGAATAGTAGTGATTATAAACACTGCTATACTTGAAACTGCTGAACTTGCTGAACTTAATAGAATCTGAATTACCTGGTGCATTCGAACTTGTATAACAGATATATGCTTATTTGTATTTAGTTAGGGTTTCACTGGCACTGAAGAAATCGACGTAGTCTTTCAAAATAGAGTGTACGCTATAGAAGGCCGTATAGTCCAAGACTTACATGTTTATCTAAATCGATATGACAAATACGCTGATCTGTTGAGGCGCAATACGCTATTACGGTCATTTAAGTATTTACAAACTTTCAGAAATGGCTGCAGTATCCTCAATCGGAGTTCTTATCTAGATTTCATTGCATTACGGTGTGTCGTGAGGTGGCCTTTCTCAACTCTCATAAAAACATCCGGAATCAAGTATCTGCCTCAATATTATTTAGCTTCTATTTGTAGGTGTACGAAAATTAGTTTCCAAATACAGGCCTCAGGTAAATTTTAATGTGAGTGGTAATAACAGCCACAACAGCACGGGTGCATAACTTACTCGGCATCGTCCTTTTCCCTGGCGACGTCCTGTACAGAGGCGGCTGCCTCTTCTAATTGTAAGCGCGAGCATATCGTCTGGTACGTCTTCGAGTTGAGCTTCTCCTCCTCGATTCCCTGTAGCTCGAAGTCGGAGTAGAGCTTGCGGGCGATTTGAAGCAGCGCAGACAGCTGAAGTGAATGGAGGCCGTGTTCCATCCGTTCCGAGAGCCATGCGCACAGCATACTCATCTGTGACGAGTACCACAGCTCGAATAGGTTAAGCACCCATAGTTCATCCGAGACTTTTTGCCGTAGCTGCTCCATGCTGTTCCGCACGAAGTTCACGTAGCATTGTCCTACTTCTTTGCCTGAACTTGACATGCCTTGTCGATACTAGAGGCCAGGCCAGAGGTAAGGGTGAAGTCGATGTGTATGAAAGATAGTAAAAGCTGTATGAGATTCATAGAAATATATCTGTGTGTACAAAGGAGAATCCGCTCCCTCGATGATATGAAAACTATAAACGACTGTAAAACTATTAGTCGCATTATCGGTGAGGTGAAAAAAACGTCGTAAGAACTTGTTTCTGTTTGTAATCATCGTGTGCCGTAGCTAGTCGTTAGACAGATTCGTTTTGTTGTCCTGCTGAAGGAAAGGAAGCACAGTGGCCTGATCCTCAGTAAAGGCAGCACTTGGCGGGCCTTCATATCAAATTAGGCCCCTCTGTGTTCACGAAAGGCGCTTTCCGGTCTTCGCCGTTGAGAGATCATGCATTACACTGTCTTATTATTACATTTCGTTTCGAAGTGCCGGCATTGCACGATAGCGCGCTGAGATGGCTACTACCCACAAGCTTTCTTGTTCAGAACCGCCTTGACGAAAGAAAATATTATTATCTCTAACGAAACGCAAATAATAAAAAAGTATTGTACCGCTCCCAGCTCGAATACCCACTAGGCGGGCTCACGTATCGTGCGTGTACATGAAAATGTATGTCTTTAAATATCTTAAAATATTTTTAAATCTAAAAAAATAAGTGAGTGTTTGTGCAAACACATTTTTTAGTAAAGGTTTTTTTTATCTTTTAAGTACAATAGCTCTGTCTATTTAGGACCATCTTCTTGCAGGCGACACACTTTTGCCAGTAGACCATAGTCTACTGGCAAAAGTGTGTACGAAGTTCTGCCATACTTCTTTGTATGCACATTTTTTGGAACGAATTTTTCGGAAATAACTTCGGATCAGATGATCAACACAGAAGTGGAATATAGAAATATTACTTTTTTTGTCTGGATTTAAACATAAGAAACACTAAATAGCTATCTACGTTCGACACGTAAGTGTTGTGTCCAAACAAATCAAGTACGTTCATAATTATCTATAATGACTTTGACGATCAATGCTTTTTGCCTAATAGAAACAGCCTCCAGGCAAATACAGCCATCCCTCTGAAAAGCCGGTCCCCGTATCCTACAACCTCCTTATTTGTAGAGTATCTACTGATGTATCTAATCGTAAACGTACCGTAAGAGATAGAATAGGGGCGAGGAGACTTCCTTCATCGTAGCGTGATAACTTGGATAGCGTCGATTCCATGATCGAGTCCAGCTTGGCCAGTAGCCCTCCTTGCATATCTTGCATAGCGCCGTCGCACAACTGATCGATTTTGGCATGGTATTGATGAATGTCGGCGCCATCGACCGTACACAGCTTCAACGACTGACTCCGCGTCTCGAGAACAACGTTGATCATTGCGCACATCTCGGAGGGCACGAGCCATTCTGTGGAGGTTCCTCCTGCCCCCGCGACCGCAGTGCCCAGCAACTTACCTGCTGGATTTGCACCTTTTCTCTGCCACATCTGTAAGAGATATAATAATAATAGTCATGTGGAATAATAGGATAATACATCTGAACATATGCCTGAAAGAGATCATCTTAAGAAAACTGAAAAACAATGCTCGAACACACCAGACTTTTAGTCAGACCACCTCGTACAAATGTCACTTAACTGGTATACAAAATAGGAAAAAATGCCTTAGTTGTACTTCCTTCATGTCTCTCATTTTGTTCTACGCACATATAATAGGATGGTGTATAGACTTTGTCCCTGTACACTTTGCTATTGGGCTTTGCCCATCAGTCTTCCGACATATTTTCGCGCCTGTTTCATAAACGCGTTCATTCAAGTGAGAGCGCCATACACAGGGCGTCACAGGGAAAAATTAGGCAGGTCGGCGTCGGGCGTTTCTCGCTGCTTCTGGTGCCGCTCCATTTCGCTAGAATGGTTTACTCTCAAAGTTAATTGCAACATATAATGAACGCGAGAGTAGGGCAACGCAAGGTTTCTCGGACAGAATGACACAACAGATAGATCACTCGCATAAGGAAAGTTTGCTCCCGGGGGCAAAGAACTATGTGCACTCTGCTGACGATAGAGCCTCCGGAAATAGATAGAAAACCGCTTTGGCCTCGGCTTCTAATAACTTAAGGGATGTGCGATAACGAATTGCGGCAAGAACCATGCATGAACGTGCCAACTCAAACACTGAGCCGGAAATTTACCTATGGCAAGAAATACTCTTTAAAGAAGCGCTTCGTTATCTCAAGGAAGCTTCCTTTCTTACGGCATTTGTCGTATCTGTTTTACACTGATATTAGGAGCTTATTGTTAGGCAACCAAAGAAACGGGCAGCCCAATTACAAACATATCAGTACTATTATGAAAAATCATAATCACAAAATTTTACAACTGATTCCCACCTGGAAAGCTTGGACCGTTCCGTTTACGGTGGCTTCGAGCATATCGAAAGCCATGAGCTTGAGTCGTTGCTCCAGATGTTTCGCGAACTCGGCGTCCGGCCAGTGAAGATCGCGTATGAAACTTTGTAAGGCCCCCAGTTTCCAGAACAATTCTTCCGAGGTAGCACAGCCAGCTTGACCTAAAACGATGCAGAAAAGGGTTAGCGACAACAATATCCATCAACTGCTTCTAAACAATTATAACTCGAACGCTTTTACAAACAGTAGTGCGTGAGGTTTGATAGACGAATGATAGCGAAGCACTTAACCCTTTGCTACAAGTGCCTAATGCTGTTCGGTTTACAGTCTCTGTTAAAGAGTACTTGGAGCACTGGTAAACTTTAGTTAGAGGACGTATTTGACATACGAATAGCAGCGAGGCAACATGCTACCAGGAGCTAGGCCCCGGAATGTTAGCGAGAACTCTTTCGAAGGACTGGTGGCGGAGCTCGTTTCGAGTTCATAAAATCGCTCCGGCGTTCGCTTATGCTAGTTTCGTTACGGTTACTATAACGCCAGATGCTCTCGAATTAGCCCCCCTTCAACTCTATATGGCGTGGACAGCGCGGTAAATGACGATTGCAGCCAAACCACAGCAGCATGAGGAGCACCGAGTTAGGTCCTTGCTTCTTTTCACTTTCCGCAGCAGTAAAAGCAACTGGCACAGAATGCCTGCTTCCTGCACTGAAGCGAAGCTAAGAGAAGTGGGAACTTGGCTTCTCTCTCTCTCTCTCTCTCTCTCTCTTTCTTTCTCTCTCTCTCTCTACTTCTGTCGCCCATGTGCCTAGACCCTCAAGTTGCATGGGAATACCCTACGAAGTACTTGAGATCAACTGTAAATTCATTTACCACGACGTTCTTCTTCGCCCATCACATGACCTTATAGCGCTACTATCCTAAACATGCCGTTCTAGTCGAGTATAGGCGAGTGAGTACAGTAAATGATTTTCGACGAAGCGGGTGAAGTGGGTCGCAAATGGCCTGCAACAAAAAAATATACGAGACACTCGCCTTTGACTGCGTTTGCTTTGGGATCGAACAGTTCTCACCTGCATTATACCATATAAAAGACAGAAGTAGGAATCCATCTTACCTTTGACTTCCCATTTCTCCTTTTCGAAGCCTTTTTGCAGGGACTGTGCTATCGAAGCTTCCATGAGATCCACGTATCGCACCACCTGCGGGGCGAAAGCGTCCCGTAGGTGTTGGTGAAATCGCCCTCCACTCAGGTTCTCGTCCATGCGAAGGTAATCATTTAGAACCTGCGGAGACGCAAGTCATCAGTCAGGCGAAAAAGAATGTATTCGAAACGACTAAACATATCTATATATACATATGAGTTCGATGATGGTATGCCCGGGCCCAAAAAGGAATTGTGGAATAGAAGCCCATTGTGGAATAGCGCTGCGCAGTTCTGTAGTAATGTTGCTAGACGATGCATGATTAGCGTAGGGCCATTTAGATTTTCTAGGCAAGCTTACTGATTAACTCTGGCTATGCTACCCTCAAGAAGAAGCTATTTATGGACCGGTAACTGAGGGGTATACTGTGGACTAAAGAAACGGATCGATAGTCTTGCGACAGAATTTAGAATGTTCTAGACATATAATCTCAATAAATTTAGTACGCAAAGGCTCAAATACTCAAAAGTCCTTGGTTTGTGCTTATTCCTTATGTGACAGTCGAAGGACAAGCGCAACTCTTGGTTACGTTTGCCCTACGAACGTACGTGAAGTTGCACATAGCTATCATACAGCACAGAATCGAATCATTGAGCCCCTTTCTATATGTCGGGCCGGGTATAATCTGGACGAAAAAGGGATAGGCAGCCATTTTTGAAACTAAGTTCTTCGTTTGTTCACTCTCTAAAAACTCGATATAGCTTTCGGCCGCCTTAGTCAATATAACTCTGGCCAAATAGTTAAACGATAATGCATGTACTTGTTCCAGCGAACCAATTCGAGCTTTCTCGTCAAAAGGGTCTGCTGATGAGCCTAGCGTCACCGTTGGAAAAGGTCTTTCGAAGGAACCTTCCACGTCCGATAGCGAGCCTCCCAAACCAACATTACTGCAAGAGGGGCGTCCTTTTCGCGTGCTCGAGCAAGCACCTTAGTAAAAGTACACTGTTGATAAAAAAGAAGTGGACGACGGTACGCGTCTTCTGGGAAAGCTAGATCTTTTCCCGGCAAAGCCTCTCTTGTTTTCCCTACGTAGTGTAGTAAGAGCTCTGCAGTTAGTATGTTATATAGATATCCTGAAACCTCGCACTCACCTGGAAGAGGGGGAAGGAGTCCCAGGTGTCCGCGGGTTGGTCCTCCAACACAGCATCCATATCCACGGCAAATAAGGACCAGAAGATCTCGGCGTGTTCTACGAGCAGATCACTGAACCACGCAAATGCCTGCGAGCAACGTGACATGTAGACGTCGCGAGCGACGAATGACAAAAAATTGCCCCCCAACAATAAAGACGAGACGACAAGGATGCAAATGACATCGACGACACCACAAACAACGCCCGAAGTGCAAGATTCACATGAGACGTAAAGGAAGGCTATATTAGAATTTGCTTTTTCGCTGGTCTTCTTTTTCCTGAGACCCTTTGAGACCTCATGTGGTACGGAAATTGGTGGAAAGAACATAGCTACCAGGTAAACATCAAGGCACCAAATTTTGACGAAATGCGGAATATCGACACCGATACTGTGAACCTTCAACACATAAAAATAGTATAATAGATTCGACATAGTTGGCATAGGAATCGATTCTAGAAGTTGGGAGAGCAGGGGGTAGACAACGAAACACCACATAAGTGCCGGACGCGTCCAATGTCTAGACTTCGTGCTGTTAATATTAAGCGCTACTGGTACACACTGGCGATACATAACACAAATGTTGTTGTGTAATTAATAATTGCGTTGTACGACGTTTTCGTCGAGGAACACGTCAGCGATACAGATAAGTGTGTTTATGTTTGCAAATAAATATACGCCAAAAATGGTCAACAAAATAATTAGTCACGGACTTCTTATCGTCAAGTGTATCTTGAAACAATGTAACCAAGTTTAAGGAGCTCACATACAGGAATGTGGCTAGTTTACGTAGTCCATGATCGAGGATACACGTTGGTTGAGCATAGGGGTCAAACTTGGTACAACAATAGACACCATGCAACAGAAGGAACATTGATTAATTGGCCATGATTTGTTTTCTCAGACACATTTACGAAGGGATGGTACCGTTCTTTGAAACTGGAAGGGGAACGAATCGTGTTGCTTTGCTAGTCTGTTGATGTTCTTATGCTTTGCTTTATCAGAGTAGGCTAGAGAAGGACGCAAATTGAAGGCCATAACGAACAAGGTTTGTCATAGCACTGTGGAGTCATTAACTGGTCGAGTACGATTAGCTATCGGTATGGATCGTGTGCGTATTAACCGAGCGGTAACGAAAAAGCTAAAAAAACTGGATTGTTCTATTAAAATGATAAAACAATACTGAGAGTAGAAACAGCACAATAATAATGAAGATGCTGAGAGAAGATTTCATAACCCCGAACTAGAGCTACGATCATTACCGTATATATTATAGACGCATGAGCTTAAAAAAACGGTGGAATGCCACGACGCAGTACCGACGAAGTGCTCGAGCATCAGCAAATCAGTGAAGTTTACTCAATAATTTCTAAGGATACTATCGAACTCAATAATCCCCAAAAAAGAGGTAATAAAATTGTTGACACTTGACCTTCGTTCTATAAATTATAATCATTGGCGTTGTCGTCTGAATAATGTAAATGCGGCTTGGAAGCTGCACTATTTTTAGTATAAAATGGATACCTAAAATTCCTCGCAAGATGCTAGCTAGGTCGACAAACGTCTTTTAGATTAAATACTGCGTGTGCGTGTGTGTGTGCGTGTATTACGTATCTAGACAAAATTATGGAGATTACAAAGAGAGAAAAGACTAGTAAAAATAACGTGAACGAAAACGCTTGTTGATTTGGCCTGTTTTATGTGTTGTGTCAAATGGCGCTGCACTCACCCGATCCTGGCCGTGTTGGTGTATTCAATTCGAGATAGCGATTGAGGCAGACGGAGAATATTTGATTCAGTTTGTTGATCAGATGGATTGATGATTGATTGTTTCGATAGTTAACAGGTTTGTTAGGTCAGGTTGATGCAAGGTTTTGATTGATGCGTGATGATCGATGATGAGATTAGGTTTTGCAGACAAAGAGAGGAAGTTACACGGGTGGAAGAAAAGTCACCGTAGCGAAGGAGATGTGCAACAAATTGGTAACCTCACCAGAGAGCTACAGTAAATACCTATATATATATATATATATATATATATATACATACGGACACACACGTTCGCTCGATATCATAAACGGTATAAAAACACGAACAGTTATTTGCTGTCATATAATTGTTCCCGCATGAAATTGGAAAGCATTTGTTTAACCATTGAATAAATGTTTAGGATTTTTATGGTTTATGATCAATCTATTTTCGTCAACATTGAATGTAGATACTTGGAAATAATGACTTGACACTACAAAATGAGACGATAGTAGTTTATAATTAGGCGTGGGCAACGATTATATTTTACGCGGGAGGACATCGTTTTAAATCGATCCTATCTCTTGCATACAGGGTGCATTGATCACTGACATCTAACACAAGCCTTCACAAAAACACGGAACGTTTAAATTGAGCGATTTTTATAAATACTGCTACACAGATAGCGACCTATATATTTTAAATGTGCTTCCCTAAAATACCTATTACATAATATCTTTAATCTGAACGTTATCACAAGAAATTAACTAATCGAGGTCACACCAACATTTTACAAGGTTTATCCAGAGCCTCCGGCTAGTTTTACTCTTTGAACAAATTCTCGGGTTTTTCTTTTTCGGCAATAAACCTGCTGAACACACTTTCTAGTAGAAGCGTCAAAGACCGATCTCTACTAGAAAGCTTATCGGGTTAAATTTTGTTGGAATTTATCTAAAAGACCTATGAAATGTCATTGTAACCATATGCTATTTGCCAACGTTGGAGTTTGAGCCGAGGATAGCCGTTGCATGTTAACCGTTATGACCGACCTTGAGCATATGTGCATGAACTACATATATCAAGGTAAATTTTTTGCCGTCGTAACATTTTACACGATTGAGCCTTGGACAGCTATCGTACTGGGTAATATTGATCTGGATCCCGCAATGCAGTATCAGCTCGCAAAAAGACAACGGTCATGAGGTTAGGTAACGTGATGATTTATCAGTCATCACGTTATAAAAGGGAACGTTAAAAACGGGTACATACACTCTTTTGGCATCGTCATGCGTATCTCATTTGGCAAATGGGAACAATGTAAAATGTTGGTACATCATGAGACACGCAGTGTAATGTTGCAATCAGAACCCTCCTTAGTTTTCGTAGTGCTAATATGTGATTAAACAGTTCGCCTAAGTCCTCACGCTTCTATTTTCATGAACTATACGCACACTGCTAATAAAACCTACGATGCAGTCATAGCTATTCATGTTTTTTTTTTTTTTAATACAATTTACAATGCTGCTGCAGCACAAAATTTGCCAATATATGCTTAGGTACATAGGTGCACAATCAAATCAAAGTAACCTAAATAGGTTTAAAGAACGGCTGTGATAGCTTTGTTACTACCGGTGAAATAAACAACAGCCTAAATACGATACGACGTCAATAAACGTAGCAAAAATAAATCACGGGCAATCGTACACACGAAAAGACATGGAGCGACTATGATCGACTGTACAATATGGAATCACGCAAGGTTTATTGTTTTTGTTGTTGTTGTTGTTGCTGCTGCAGCAGCTGCTGTTGTTCTTGTACAAAAGGCAATCAATGCGTGCGACAACAAACACGTATTTTTTGAATGCCAATTCTGTTCTTTTTTTTTTTGTTTCTAGAACTTGTCTGTTCGTTGTTTTCTACCAACCACGTTTTTTCCGGACTTTTTGCAGTCGAGGGCGACACTCACCGAGCGGAAGGTCTGTGGGAAGAGAGATACAGAAAGACCACTCTAACATCAAGACGCACGTACAACACCAAACAATACAGAAATAACGGGGGTTAGAAGCTTTAGGAATTATGTGTTTTGTTTGCCGCCACTACCACTGCTGCCGCGACATTGTCGTCGTCGTCGCCAGCGTCATCAGCGCCTGCCAAGGCTTGGCTGTGGTCACGGTTGTGTGACGGCAGCGTCGGTGCAGATCAATCGATTTTGTTGCATGCTGTTGTTGTCCTTATGAATTTCCTCTTTGTTCCTTTTTATACTTGTGCTGTTGTTATGGGCGTAATAGTCACAACTGAAGCATCTGGCGTCGCCCTCTTAAGGAGGATTCTCCTTTGTTGCGCTGTCTTGTTTGCGTTTCCGCTTTACGTCAGTACCAAGCACGCGTTGAGCTCTCACACGAAGTGATTTTTTTGCGCTTAAGGGAACGATCGTTATCATTTCACACAGTAACACGCCAATGCACATACACGCCTTGTACTCCCACAAGTAGTCATAGCCATTCTTCCGTTACGAAAGCCACTATGCTAAACGCTTTATGCTATAGCTACTAAATAGCCCAATGCTAAAGACCTTAGACACTTAGGCAACGCGAAGGTGAACCAGAGGGGACACGGGCGGGGCGGTAAAGCGGGATATATGGCAAAACTCGAGGACAGCAACGGCAACAGTGTGGGCAAGCGATAGCTGCTAGATAAAGAAAAAAAGTGGTCGCAGTATGTTGCTGGACATTGAGGCCAAAACGTAAGATGCGAGATCGAACGGGATCTAGTGGTTGGACTAATGGAAAAATAGTAGCAATAAAAGACAGTTCGAATGTAGGAAGTTCTCGTCTCTAGTTTCGTATTCGACTCTGCGTCGTTGTGATCGCAGGCAAAACTATGATAGTTCTAATTGTACGCATGAATATGAAAATTAACGTTTACGTCGTTAAAACGGTTTATATATTTCTACGAGTAAGTAATGTAATAGCGCATTGACAACAGATTCACATGGAGGGAATGGGGCGACACATCAGGACTAACTAAAAAAGAGAAAGATTCTAATTTGGCTCTATGGAAGATAGAAAACCTTTTTTTTTTTTTTTAATAAAACCCCGCTAGATCAGCAGACTATAGGACTACTCAAATGGACTAGATTTGTTAATCAAAAGATGTATTCGATCAGATTGGAAATCGCCGTTTGTCAGGCATGATTAAGAAAACATTGCCAGATTTATAGAAAAATAGATAAAAATATACCTGGTTAGGCATCGACTCATTACAACATAAACGTGGTAGATATTCAAGTAGAGATCCACTTAGCAAATAATCTCCAAAACTCGACTCTAGATTACTGTTTCTATTGTTTTTCCTTTTAACTGTGTGCTTAAAAGTTTCTCGTTATCACCGAATATAATAAACCCAAAATAATGTCAGATTGCGGTAACCTGTTAAAATTGCTCAAAGGACCCGTGTTGGATGGTTTCAATAATGATGTAATAAAGGGCTTCTGTTATTTTCGAATAATAGCTAGTTACTATGTAGAAGCATTACCATAAAGGAATAGCTATAAGTTGCATGCACACTCTGACCGAAAACGATTCAATCGGATTACCTCAGCGTAATGTTCATTGTTTTGCTGCAGAAGGTCGACGCAGAGCTCTGCTAAGTGAATAAGGTCCTCAAGCCTTTTGGTCGGCGGTTGGCCCATGTCCATGATCGCATCTGAGATGTGAAATTAACGCAGCAGATAACAAACAAAACAACGACAAGCGGACGACAATGACAATAAGACCGTATAGAAAAAATGTTAGTACAGATATCTTCGCAACTAGTGGCTAGTCAGTTGGCATACCCTTCCAATACAATGGCAGGGACGATTATGCGGCTGCCTGGAAATCTGTGAGATACAGGCACGGTCACCAGAAACGAATCAAAGACCTCGCACCTTTTTTTTGCACATCAGCCCACCCACTACACTGCTGTCTTCTAGGAAATTTACCTCGTTTCTGAGCAGAACCTGCCACAGGGCATCGGAGATATCGAACATCATAATGATGTCATTACAAAAAGAGGTAGGTTTTTTCGTGATGGTTTAATGGTCCTGTATGAGATTTTATATTAGGAATTGGTGGAAGTGGATACCTAGCTTCGTACTGTACTTCGACTACCAGCAGGCGTCTGATTTAATATCTGACAACAGCTAGAACGGAAAAGTCAAAGCACTCATTAGTGCCAGTAGTAATCGTTGTATTCGAAATAGTCTACTAATAGTGCAGTCTACCATAAGCACATGACGAGTCTGCGCAGTTCAGATGAGGTGGGCGCCACCTTAATGCTGTCTGTATAGCTAACTCCAATCAAAACCAGTTTTAGTAGAATTCTTTCAGTAGCTCAGTTCGGCCCTTCTCCGATGCCCACATGTCACCGACCGAGCAAACAAATGTCAGCTACTGGGATCCCTGTCGAGAAAAGAGCTCCACAGCTGTCGACTGGCCTACCCGATAACCTAGTCTAGTCTCCCAATTAATTCGAGTCACTTCCAGAAGTTGACTATGTGTTGGAGCGGCCCCCTAGCGTTCATACTACCAATAAAACGAGAACTACCACTCTGCCCCTTTTCCGTTTACTCTCCACGGTCTCTCCCGTTTCTGTTCTAATGTAGACAGTAACTATTATTGCAACATGCACTATTACTATTCATTCTATATTACAGCCATAAGTTGACTGGACTGCATTGTTTGAAGTCGAGAGGAGGAAAATGTGAGACAGAGAAGAAGAGATCGGAACGGCAGGAGGGCATTCAGTAGTGATTGTGCCCCCAGCAGTGACAGGGAAATAAGAGACATGCCAACAGCTTGAAGACCCCCTTCCCTCTTAACTTGCCAAATTATCCTAACCGGCTTAGGATCTCTGTTTAGGAGTTTGTTCGCTGACTGGGACTAACTAGCTAGCTAGCTAGCGGGCGTGCTAGGTGCCGTCTGGCTTCGCTCAGGATCGTCTGAACAACCCTTCAGTGTGGCTTTAACGCCGGACCAATTTGGTGAAACGAAAAAGATGGCTGGTTTCCTTCCATAGTCTTGTTTCCCGCCTCTTTACTATAGATCTACGTATATGTATACATATCAAGAGGAAATAGAAGCAGCACAACTGGTGTTGGAGAGACGCCTATACTATCGTTATTCGCTTTTTTGATAGTCTAGGAAGGGCTTCGCCTGCATGGAGCCAGCCAACCAACGGCTCTGGTAAAGAGTCGTTCCTTTCTCACGCATACTTTGTTAAGGAAGAGAATGTTCTGGAGAGTGACTTTCCGGCTCTGAATGGCAGAGTCTGTCGAGTGTAACGTTAACTACCAATCCTTAACCTAGCGATATAAAAACACCCTGGCGAGCCGGGGGGCGATGTCATAAAAGGAGGAGTAAGGAAAAATTGCCCTAGCGAATCTAGTGGATGGGGTACCCGTCTTTTTTGTATCTATATTCATATTACAAACTGGATAAATTGGGTAAAAGGTTAAACGAGCGGTTTAGTCATCATGAATTATTTTACGCTAAGTACGTTTAAACTTTTCTATGCTGCATAATAGGATAGTCATTCGTCACTAAGAACTGCGTAAGTTGTAAATGGCTCATTCAAGTAGATTGCCCAGATTTATTAGAAAGGTATGTCACAAAATTGTGTTCCACTATACGCAAATATACGTACTTGATTTGCGTATCTGTTTTGCGTACGCAGTTATATCGGCCCGAGCAATTTTAACTGTAGTTAGATAAATTAACATAGATAAGCAGCACTTTTTGGTTTACCTACATTCATCATGCTGCTGACGGAGCGCCGGATCGCTACCGCCGGCTGTTTTGGGCATGTTTTTCGCCTGCTCAGATATTTTCGTGTAATTAACGAGCGCGGCATTCTCGAGGCACTTCTTGATTATTCCACGGACCTCCTCAGGGGGCGCGGGCGTCATTACGTCCCGCATCAACACCCGCTCCAGCAGAGACAACGTCGCTTTCAACGCACCTTCAGGTCTTCCGAATGGGAAGCAGTATCTGTAACGCAAACGACGTTCGGGGAGGTCAACAGGACGCAAAAGAGAGCAAATACGTATCTAAGAAAATTAGTTAGGAATCTGGGTTAAAAACCTGAAACTGTCCTATACATTGTGATTATATTATGAGTTGTAGTGGCTCATAGAGGGTTAAATCGGTGAAACAAAAAATCACGCAAGCTTTGAGCTAACAGCCGTGATTTTACTACAGGAAGTAGATATGTTTTAGGCCAAACGCGGAGAAGGACAGTAGCTATGGAAACCGGAAAAGACCACCAAATGTGCATTCATATAGTTCCTTGTAGAGGACGTATCGAACAGGCAATCATTACGCTTCAATAGCAGAATTAGGAGTATGGCAACTGCAAGGTGAAAATTCACCTAAGATGCCCTAATCTGCCCTTTTGAACGGCTCCTGTTCGCTGCTGTGCATGGAAAGGTTGGCGATCGAACATCTTTCGCCATCAGGTCATTCCGTATCACTTAAACAGAGCGGGACATTTATACGAAGCTAACTGTTACGCAAAAGCCGGATCCGGCAATAGCCACGTCTCATAAGGTAGGTGGGCAGGCCACGTTCAGCTTGCTTAGGCTGCGATCTTCTAGGTACAGACGGCAAACGAAAGTGGTAGCAAATGAAACTGCTGTACTCACAATGCAGGCCGAATAACTTAGCTTATGTAGATGGAAAATTCAATTACGAAATATCCCACTCTTGTATAACTAGCTCAATGTCGTTAGCTGTTGACAGAAACTTACGTCCTGGCTGAACTAGCCAATGGTTATCAGACAGCCGCAGATCGCAGTCCCCACGAATGAACTTACTAACACTGCTAGCTACCTCGAGTCATTTATCTTAGCCTATAATGTTTGGGAGTGAAGTTTCCCAGTTAAGCAAAGCAATTCTAGAGGAGAACGTGAAGGTAGCGATCCAATAACCCAGATATTACCTAAATATTTGAGAAAACAAAGCTGGAATAAAGTTTCAGTTTTCGTAGAGTATAATGCAATTCAGTGCAGCTAAAGATAAAATGTTGGTTAGCTTTATTAATTAAAAGGGTAGGCATAATAAAAAGACACAAGCACAATATGAACATTCGTGTGTCTGTGGTAAAAATTTATGGCAGCTGCACGCTGACTACAACAAACGACAAATGTGTGAAGACTGAATTAAAAAGTCGCATAGGGACATACTGCACGTCCATCGTATGTGAAACATAAAATCGATATCTGTTTCTTATTCAAATAATTTCTATTATTTGTTCTACTACGTCCACTTACCTAAAGTGGGTGATTTGATGTTCAAGGAGAACTTTTAGTCTGTCCTTGATATTATTAAACATGTCTTTTTCCTCGACAGTGACCGTTCCGATGCCATCGGGTCTGTAAAGCAGGAAGTTAGTGAGGTTGCCACGTATCAGACGAACCCGAACTAGCCTCTCCCCTCTTTGCTCTCCGATCTGCTTTAGATCAGGCGGGGGTGAGTCAGATCAAAAAAAAGTAATTAGAAGAAAAGGAAGATCAGAAAAAGAAGGAAAATGCCAAGAGTCGTCACGGTTCGAGCCAGCAGCCCAGTCCATCCAGTGATAATCGATGGTCATAAGCCACCACGTCCAGATCATCAAAATGTCGCAGCAGACCACGATTCACTATCAACCAGTCTCATTCGCTTATGTGTCTATTCGTTAGTTTGCCCGCTTAACCAAAAAAATTCGTAACGGGATTCTCACACATTCGCAGAGAGCACTATTTACAAAAAACGCGTTCACACAATAACCAATCATTTGCATGTTCTAACGCGACCGGACGTAGCTCTAACACAAACAACTCATCAGTAACTGAAAACCATACCTGTCTCTCAAGCGAATCAGTCAACGGATTCTTTCTCTCTTTTCGCACTTTATCCTTTCCGCCAGAGCGTGACCAGGTGCCTAAGACCTATCCATTCAAAATCTAGTCTACCTGTCAGTCAATGCCGTGCAGGTGACGTCGTTGAGATGCGGGACAAAGTCAAAATGCAAAAAGGATGTCACTACAGTCACGCAGTTTCCTTAGTATTTATCATACTCGTAGGGTATATGCATTTTTCAGATGTCGGGTACCTATGACGGCCAGGCTGTCTTTTACCCGGCACGACCCAGTGCAACCGAGACAATTACTACAATGTGGTAACGTATCAATCAATATAGCAGATTCGATTTTGAACTGGTCAGTACGTATACCTAGTTAGACTAGACAACAAGCTGGGGTACTACAATTTGTTCTTGTAGAAGCTATTTGTAACCCATAAACATAAGATCCCACTAAATAGGGTGATACTATTAACGAAATCGGGAAGGTTTGGGACGGGACGCTGAAATGACTGGAAATAAGCATAACAACCAATCCGACAGGTTAGCTTATGTGGTCAACCATTAGCTTTTATCAGTCATTCTGGATGACCGCGATTACAGCGGATAAATTATAGCATCCAGAAAGTTGATAATGATGGGCCGCGTCACACATAAAAAATCCATCTGGGTTTGCTAATATGGAATTATCAAGTCATCTTTTCTACTCGAACTGTATTATGTTCCCACTGTTGCAAATAAATTTAGCGATCTAGTTCACGTCAATGGCCGTACGTTTAATCGAAGTTCCACAAGCAAGACCTTCTTTAGTGCACAAGAATAATCCTCGGTTCTGACTAAATATCAATATTTCATTGAAAAATCATTAACGTAATACGTATTATCCCTTGACTACTAAATAGCCAATAGGAGCACTCTAGTTGTCTGTATCCGTAACTCCAAACAGCGACAACGATCAGAAACGTATGCGATATAAAGAAGAATAATTACATAACCATATATATCTTCTTGCAACAATAAAACGTTGAACTTCCGTCAAGATATTAGTGCAGTCCACAAAAATAGAATAGTCAATCTCTTTTAGAGCAATCCTACGGGTTACTGATGCCTTGTTTCCACTTATCATTTTTCTAACCCAGCGACCAGTAGTAAAAAAGTTAGGCCCAGTGGATACCAGCAAGCTAACCCGCCTTTTATGGTACTGCTTATCTTGTGTATGAAAATATCGAAAGAAATCGTTAGCAGAGACTCAGAACCGAAAACAACGGACCGATCAGAAGTTTCGCCTTTCACGCCTGTGGGTGGGAGACCGATCTTCTTCTGCTTCTCATTCAAATTCATTTTTCAAGCCCGTGCCGTTTCCGCATCGGAACGAATACTGTATATTTAACTACGGCATTTTCTTCTTTCGTATAAGTGCTTATTTTTCTAACTACATTTTTTTATCGTGTGGCTTGTTCTTTTTCTATGCGGTTCGCCCGAAGCTGACCAGGAAATACTGGATATACGTCTCAGTACAGGCTGTGCATATTTGCACGCTCCAGGGCCAGCGCAGATACACTAGCCCAGTGGGTCGGCATAGACCGGGAGGTAAGACACAGGAGGGTCGCACAGCGACGACAAGTGTGCCAACGTAAATAACGATTGTAGGAACAGGGGCGAAGGCAAAGCGAAGTGGAGAAAAACAAATCCTTCACGACTAAAACTCTGCTTGGCCAAAAAAATTCCCACTACCTGCCAAACACATGCACACGTGACGGTGTCGTTACGACAATGGTTGTGGAACTGGCTCTAGCTGTAGAAGGCCAATGAAACGTCGACTTCGCCTGTATTTCCTGGCCTCTCAAGCAGGAGCGAGGGTGATTTTTTTATATACAAGTCGTAGGCAGACTGCTAAGTTTTGTGCAGGATCTCTTTTTTTTTGTGGGTAATCCAAGGCACTTTGATAGTTGTCAGCCGAACTAGAGATTTTAGAAGGATTTCGATGTTATACTGGAAGGCCTCAAATGTATATGTATTATATACATTATTACATATACAGAATTCAATGCGACGGTAATTAAATGCGGGGAGACAGACAAAGAAAAAAAATCTTCTGACTAGCAAGGGGCGTGCGTGTAAGAATGAACGATGACACGCTTCAGTCTATATAAAAGTAGAAGCAAACAGTTCTTCCTTAGAACCAATAGAGGCAAGAAATTCGTCCATCTATCCATAACTTACGTTGGGGTACCTAAAAATGGGAATCAGTTAACGATCAATGTCTACTCATCACAATATTACCAGTGATAAGGGAAATTCTATTTGTATAAGTACAAAGCAAAACTAAAGGGCTTTCTGGTTAGAATTGAATGAGTGAAACGCTTCCTTATTTGGGTATGAATGTCATTGCAATCTGAAAACCTCCATTCGGGAAAAGCCTGCGGGAAAGCTTTCCTTTTTCGAACCGGCACACAAAAGGACAAAACGAAAGGAAAACTCATAGCTTCTAAGGCATGTGAGAGTTTTTATACTTTGAGGGAGAATTTGATTTAGCCAACCACTAGTTAATTACCCTTCGCAATATATGTCCTTGGAAGAGTCCTAGTGAAGTAGACGAGCTGACTGACATAATCAATACTGGGATATAGCATAAACTAATAGAAAGACCAATACTCATATTTTCTGTACGGATTCTAGATCTATTATTGATTTGAGCTATACAAGCATAGATCACAACAGCTCGATCGTATACTGAAAAGGTAGCTCTTAATAGGTATAAATTATTCCGTCGATAAGGATAAGAGTAGTGCCAGCCAACCGAATAATCAGGTATAACTATGAAGAATAACACACAAAAACGTATAGTTTTCTATGGGGTGTGATAGGGTCAAAGTTTTTTTCTAACACGATTACTCTCTCACTGCAGCGGAACGTAAATTGCTTTCCGATTTTTGAAGCAAGCGTGCACTAGGCAAGCAGGCTCACATACACTCTACACGCAGCACTTTGCTCGTATCCTGGAAACCTAACTATTCGCGTATATAGCAGGACATACCCCATTGTACCTATATATTAAATAATATAGCGTTCGTGTTTGCAACGCGAAGCATAGACACTATTGAGTCGGAAAGTTGCCTATATACTTTTACTTAATAGTAATAGTCGTCTTTTTCAGGGAAAACATTTGGTTGATCCAATCAGGCCATAGATTGGTGCCATTGATGGAGTGGGCTTCCAGTTCAACCAGACCGTTCGCATTGCAGGCGCGCATGGAAACAGCAGGCCTTGTGAACTATGCTAAAGGTTATTGAGACGCGGGCATGCAATCGTCCCATAGGCGAACCATACCGGAAAATTACGCTCCGTATCTACTTAGTTGTAAACCGAGTCTGGTCAAGTATTTTGATCCATTGTAAATAAATGTTTATGTGTATTCGAATATATGCGCGGCAAATGGTGTTTTGACCCTCGGGGTCAATAGAAACGAGGCCACGGGAAAAATGTCTCAGCCCGTGTATTATATAAGGCGCTTCGTTTCGCAGGTTAAATATGATCCATTACCTTGAGACACGTCCTTCGAATTATCTACTGACGCTATCAAGAATTATAAAATAACGTTTTTTTTTTTTTATTATTATTATTATGAAAACGCACGTCTGGACGCCAACGAACGCGAAACCCACCCTTGCCAATTGGGTCCATTAGTTACACCAGCGAATTTTAGCCCTCACTTTGATAAGGATAGAAATACAGCCAATGGGAGGTAATTTATCTTGGTTTGGCAAAAGAAGTTTTTTTGTGCTAAAATAAATCACCAGAATATCAATAGAGAGAGAAAAAAGGCTTGTTTGTATGTTAAAACGAGTTCTATAGGGATAATTACTTTGTCATGTTAGCAACGATTCCGACTAATTCGAATTCATTCGATGTGAACAACTATATAATCTACTACTAGCTATGTATTACACATAAAAAATATATTAGAAGGACAAAGCTGCGAGAAAGTGGAAAAACGTACATTGGCTTGAAAAAGAAAGTCTTAGTCATAGACTTTCGCTATCTCTACAAAATTATGTCACCTCTATCCGATTTTTCAGGCCTAGATTAGTACAGCACTACTGCATAAAGCTCATATAATGATTGAATAAAGTAAGGACTAGAGAAACAAAATACTCAATAATGATAATAAAAATAATAGCAAATTCGAAGTGTATATGAGTCCGAAACCTCTTGGAGGAATTCCAGAGCTTACATTACCGATATCTCATTATAATAATAATAATAATGATGAACTGAAGACTGAAGAACAAAATGAGTAGTGAGATATTCGAAAAGAAAATAGATGCAATAACGTGCTAAACACGATGCAGTTTGTAGAAGATGAAAATAATTGGCAATCATCAACAGTGACGCCGATCTCGATCACCTCACCAGATGCCCTATCGGCTACCGGGACAGATCGTCGATCGGAGCAAGCCATTCAATCGGCCAGAGATCAGTCAAATCTGTTGGTGCCGAGTCTCTGCTTTGGTATCGGCCACTCGATCTACTCACTTGAACTCGGGTTCAGTACTCGACGTGCCCGCTTGATCGGGCTTTTCCTCTATGGCCAACACAGCTTCCCTGGGAGCGACACAAATGTAGACAATAACAACACAGATACAGAGATTGGTTTATATCGCGGTCCTGTTGGCTGTTCTAGTAGTCTCTGTAGAGTTATTTTTCTTGCTTTATTTTTGCATCTAGCGTCCGATTAGATGTTTAACAGGGCACTGCAGGGCTGTCGTGCTTCGTGCTCAGTAACAAAACTTGAACAACGCGCCCGTAGCGACCTACGCTGGACGCACGTGCCAGCCTCAAAGCTCCTGTCGCCAGGGGCTTTGAGACCGCGTCGAGGCGGGTCGGTCAAGCAAATGCATCGACGGTGATGTCACGAAATTGCCTAGAAGCCGAGCTGATATCGCGAAGGAAGAGGTGAATGCAGCACGTGGCTACTTATGCATGTATAAGTACTAATGAAATGCTATTGCAAGATGCTTAGGTTTTTTTTGTCCGTATTTGCTCGCCACGCTATTGAGAAGCAAACACTCTGGGCAAACGTGACACGAGGTGGCTTGAACATTCGTCTTTTTTTTTGAATTAATATGTCTTTATTATCTTTTATTTATTACTTACAGTTGTTTTTTTTTGATTTCATTGAATTATTACTACACACAGACGCAGATACACGTAAACACTATCAATGTTTACGTGTATGTATTTACTCCGTCGAATCTTTCGTGAAATATTGTTTATTCGAATTTCTCTTGCCTGTGCTACAGACAAGTAACCAATGAGTCATCATCATTATCAATCGACTCTTGTTACGTATCGTTGCAGACTGCAACGATACAACGCGAACTCCCAATGCAATAGTAAAGAAGCAGTGCTCGCGTGCCGCAAGTAACGACAAAGTGTCTTTTAGAATAATATGTCAATCAGCAGCCACCATTCGTATCATGTCAGCAGAGGTTATATTCCGCAGTCATGATATAACAAGAATGCAAAAGGGACGAAGTGAAGTTGTACGTACAACACAACAAATATCGACAGCCATCTGGTAACTTGATGGTGAAGATAACGGCGATACCAAACACAGGAGGACAAGGGTAAAGCTAATCAGGTAGAAAAGCAGATCTGCTAGTACGTATGGGTCGAAAAGAATCGAAGTTGTGCCAGTACTAGTTAACTGACCGTGCATTATATTTAGGCTCCGATAAAGTGAGAGAGACAAAATGCCAAAATAGGTCCTACAATCATCTTCCGGATCTCGCAGGTTAAGCCACACGTGGTCACAGGGCGGAGCTAGTTTCGTAGCAACGAAGAGGCGTCAACGAAAACCATTGGACGAGACTGTAATCCTGAGCAAAAAGGTTTTTGACTCTGAAAGAAGGTGCATTTGCGGTTCGGGAGCTGATCTTTTAACGATACTGCTATCATATTAGTGGTGCCACGGGCCGTTCGATAGACGACAGTGCCTGCTGCTTACTGAAACGTATTCTTTCCTTCCTGACACATGTTGGTCGTTCCCATTGATTGAAGGTGATCGTTAAAAGGGGAAAAAATAGTAGACTGCTTAAGAACGCCAGGTCGTTTTTGATCAGGTCTAAGGTTCAGTGGAGTGGAGCTCTTCGTGAGCTGGCAGGTAAGCTAAAGGTCGTTTTGCTCCCTTCTAGTATAAAATAGGGGTATCATGCAAAAAAACACAGGCATCCTTGTGTCTCTGTCAGAACTAAAAAGAAAAACAGGTTCTACTGAAAGGGAGTCTATATGTAACACAGGGCACGCGAGAACGTATTGTTCCACCGATAAAAATGCTTGTGTATAAGGTAATATTTGCCAATCAGTTCCGATTGGTTGGAAGTCGCTGACTCGAAGTGTTAGCTAACAACTGTTAACGTAGGTTAGTTCAGTAGAATTTGCCAACAGCCACTTCAAAAAAGACTCATCAGATTGGTCAGGATTTACTTCATTTTTTCACAAACTATTTAGATCTAACTAATCATTGATACCATGATTGTTGAAGTAAGATCCAGTCAGCGTGTGAGACCACCCAATCAAATTTTTGGTAGGCCGTACCGTTATTCAGGTATCCTTTCATTGAAAGCGCTGCATTATTTCCAGGCAGATACAATTCGATAAATGATGATACTTAGGAAAATCAAGGGAACAGTAAAGGATATGAGAAACTGGCGATGGAACCGGCAAATATAGTTTTGCTAGTATTACTGGTCTTTGGCCCTATTCTTTGGTTCTACGTATAATTTAAATACAAAAATTTAAACAGCAACTGTCAACACAGAAATACGAGTGATTGTCATTTTTACGATGATGTTTACGATTCTACGTGTCTACGGAAGAAATTGTGGAAACGTTTTTGTAAAGTTCGGGACTGAAACTTATCTTCCGTTATATCAGTATAGATCAGTAACTAGACGGTTCGTGTTCATTCGTCATTTGTTACATTTAATAACTATTGTAATATATTTGATAACCAATACCGCACATGTCTCAGTTAACATTAGGTATATTTAACGAAAAAATAGATGGTGGATTAAGATCGAGGATTAAGCTATACGTTCCTTTTTTTTGTTTTTTTGCTATTTAACAGTTACTTCGCCACTGCTTGTAGACACCTAGGAAATTGGCCATCTACCTTAAATGCTTGTTTTCGAAAGCAATCGTATATTGCAAGAACGTTGAACAAGCGTTGCCTGAATACGTTTTTCTGGATGTAGTATATTCGCTAGCTTTGTCTTTTGTGCAAAAAGAAAAATGCGAGACACTGAAGATGGGTCGATGGCTGACACGTGATGAGGTGCAAGGGCAACTCTCCTATACAGATATGAAAAAATGGGTCCCTTTAACTCACTCTATAGGTCGAGATACTGAGAAGCCCTATTCGCATCCAGTACAGATTTGTTCGCCTGGATATACTAAGCTCATTTCTGTCACGTATGCCGAACATACACCCAGCTTTATCATCAAGACATAGGTACAGATAGCCCGAATCAAAACCAATGCATCACACATCTTCCTCATAGGAGCGCTAGCTATTACTCTTGAGGGCCTGAAAGCTAAACGAGTTATGGCATAATTAAGCATGAAAGATTATACAGCTGACCGAATCACTCTAAATAATGCTATCTACTTACGAAGAGGCAACTAGTGGACCTTTTTCTTGGACAGTCTGAGAAAGACGCGGAGAAAGTTTCATAGAAATCTACACATGTAGAGCTCCACAGAAGTGACGGTTAGGTCGTGTACAGATGGAAATCTGACGAGCTCGCCGTATAATTACGTACGAGCCAGGTTCACACAGGTAGTTACGTTCAACTTGCAAAGTGAGAACGCATTAAATCAATCAGAGATTATCAATTAAAGAATGAAAGACATTGCCACAGTTGCCGCATTTGAGAAGACCCTATCTAGAACGAAGGTAAACCCGCGCAATTTGAACAGAGATCTACTTGGACTCATGTCGACTGCATTATTTGTAGCACCACTGACCAACATCGTGCAAGTTTAAGTGAAAAAAAACCAAGTATCTACCACTAAAAATAGTATCTATTGTGGAAGTAGAGCTAGGTAGAAGCTCTACGCTTCAACATAACAACGCGCAGAGGCAGAATGGCAGCAACGGTAGGATAAGAAAAAGGAATCGCAGTTGGAACTTTTACATCGAACAGTACAATATTAATAAAAGATAAAAGCAGTGAAAATCATAATAATATCCAAATGTTTGAAAAAAACCTTCAGAAAAAAACTGTAAATGGAGGTAAAGATACCACAATGACAGCGGCAGCAGCAGCAGCAGCAGCTGTGTTTGAAAAAACTGCAGACTATTCTGTGTAAAGTAGCAGTCATTGCAGAATAAACAATAGCGATTCTTCGTTGAGAAAGGTGCCCCTAGCACGGCAGACCTCATGCGTAGCTATCTAGCTAGTATACCAAGAGGAACATCGCATATCATGTCACTTCAGATCAGATTATATCATATACAACAAGAAGTCAAATTAAAATGCACGCAATACAAATCATGTCAATTGATTATCCCAGCTCATGTCAGACAGTCCATCCCAATCAACTAGAGGCTAGGCAGTGCCTGAGCCAACCTTGTCCCTTTGGCCTGGTGAACCGCAGGGCTCAGGGCTTGCACGCAGAGGGACCTACCTGATATCAGTAACCACTGTTCCAGGGGGTGCAACGCTAAAAGGCGTCGATACCTCAATGTTAACATGTGATAATTATAGCACGATCGTCTCAATAGGTATAGAACAATTATGAGTAAAAAAAACAAAGAACATTTAGTGTTTCTTACGTCATTAAGGCAACAATTCACACTAGGCATAAATTTAGTAGTTCTATAGGCATAACAATAAAATGCATTCAAGGTAGAAACGTTATTTTAATTTAATTCGAGCTTTAAGGCCCTAGGTTTTTCATTTGCAGATATATTCTGTAGACGAATAAGCGTACCATGTCGTAGCATACAATATCAGTTGTTCCAATTAGTAGTCCTAGCTAGTACTTGCTTGGTTCGATAAAGCCAAAAAATACTATTGAAGTTTTTTTCACCATTTCTATACACCGCTTGAAACATGTATGAAAAAGTATTGCAAGAAATTGTTCTTACTTCGAAATTTTTGTCGAGATCACACCCACAAATGAAAAGGTGCCCACTAACATTTACAATAAAAAATTAGTCGTCTGTCCGCTAAATATGTAAGATCTAATTTGTGGTGTGTGTGTATGTTCGTGTCGCGCTAATCACGTCATCCCTGCCAGCCAACAGATGCGGATAAACCACGTCCTTTGCGTTTTCGGGCCTTCTCATTGCCGTAACCCCGGCCTACCGCATAATGCACTACTAGGCGTTAACGTCACGGCGGCCGTCACTTTTGCGCAATGCTAGCCTGTCGAACAGGGGCGACGGCAGCAACAGGTGAAAAGGACAAGTCAGAATAGAAAAAGAGGCGGTCTTCGGGCCTTCTACTTCGTTTGCTTAAGCGCCAATGATTTCATCGGTCCTTGAGACATAAGGGGTCACCGCATCTAGCTGCTAAGCAAATCTATGCGGCAAGCGTAAGAGGACCTGACATTGGACACATTCGGTTTTCTCCTATCTCTTTCGTATCCTTGCCTTTACATTGTCACTCGATTCGAACGTTTCACAAGAGCGAGCGGGTTTAGTCAAAAGAAAACGATCAAGACTAGGGTCAGAAAAACATCATCAGAGCAAATCCGGTCCATCACTGGAAGATCGAGAAGAACAGAGTGGCCTATTAGAAGGCCACCAGCAAAAGGCAAAGGCAATGGCCATAACATCTAAAAGCTGTAGTACCAGCCGCACTGGGCTGACCAGAGAGCCGGGTAGGAGCGATTGGCTACAGAGAGGGGTTAAAAAACTCGCGAGACTCACGACCTGATTAGAAATATAACGGAAAACCGGAAAGAGGTCTGCGAGTTTTCCACACAACGTCGGAGTAATCTACATTGCTCTTAGGCTTGAAGTCACAGAAGAAACAAATTTAAAGAAGTTTGAGAAGTCCTTGGCGCATCTGCAGGACGCTCTAGTAGTTTATGAATCTGCGCACAAATATTTGCCTAATCGACGTCCAACTGGACAGTACTAATTGTTTTTCGAAAGGCAACAAAATTATTTTTCTGCAGTTTTTCAGGCTGAAACGCTACAATCATATATACGAAAACCAGCGGGGGCATGAGGGGGTCCACTTGTGGGGAGCTTTAGGTACCATATTGAGTCGAATGTCCTGGCGCATCTTGTTCGAGTGTAATTTGGTCTATTATCTACTTGTGTTACTGGCACATATCTGTGTGTCTCTAGCAAATGCCATTGTTATTATTGTTATCGGAAAAGAGTGCTATACGATCCGTTAGACTAAGCTTATTGCGACGCTTTTTCCAATACGCCAACAAACTATCAACAACAGTCTAGAAACGATGAATAAAAAGGTAAATTTTTATAAATCACCAAGCCAGTTGAGAAGATGTACCTATACGTTTGCTAGCGCCTATATATACATATATATATAATAATAATAATATTTTTATTATTCAGTTTATATTATAGTTTTTACCTGTAATAGCATGATCAAATCGGCTACATTGCGTACCCAGCTTTAGCGGTATTCGTACTCCTCCTAGCCACTATACCGTACCATATGAGACTTATTTTTGTACGAACAATTCTAAGCTGGTAGCTAGCTATACGCGTAGTTGAGTTCGTAAAGCAGAAAACACATCGCTGTATCCATTATTTATCAAGATAACCGAACGAGAAAATGATAACGATAGCTACGGAAAACTTTATACTCCAGCGACGGGCACTGCCTGTTGTCGGAGCCAACAGCGACAGCGTTTGCTAGAGGAACGCCTTGATCGAATATTAGCGTGAAACCGTTTATTGTCGATCTACTATACGGATGTTCAGGCTGACGTTAGGGTACAGTCACTTAAATCCGGCAGTTGGAACTCCATCTGCAATGGCTGCTTTACAGGTATGATGGGACGGAGCCGATCAATAATTTTGTCGCAATGAAGTAGCAATTATTGGAAACTCAGGTGCCCTTATATCTCGATTTCGAGGCTTCTACGATAGGGTGTTCAAAATACGCTGTTTATGGATGGAAAGGATTTAATAGATTAGAAACCGTAGCTATCCAAGGGTGCGACTCCAATAAAACTATTGGGTACTCTAAATTTAATTCAGGTGTTCCGATAAGCAATTTTGCAGAATTATACGACGTTGCTACGTAGCAAAAGCCAACAGAAACGATCCAACAATGTCTTCGGGTTCTGCGTTATTTCAACAAAAAATAATACCCAAGGCGGCTATATATGGAATCATACACCCGATTCACTCGAAACCAGCTATTTCGACGTTGCTCACTTCAATTCACAATGGCGGCGTAATACGCTTACGGTAAATTTAAACTTGTTTATTTAACTTAAATTTAAGCTAACCGAAAATATATGTTTTTGCTCCACTTATAATTATTCCGCTTACAAGCCGTCATGTATACATTAAGGATTCATCGCTGTCTCATACACGCTGTTTATCAAGAGTTTGATTTGATACCTTCCGTGATACGTGCCGCTACACACATCCAACAACTGTCAGTTTGTTATCATCGTACATTAACTGTCTGTGGTCTCCGACTAATCCTGTAACGTCTTTCTAGATTTCAATTTCCATCCGGATTTTCTATCTCTCTGTTTGTATTGCGGCCCCCTTGCCTAATATTTTCGTCCTCCTATCCTTTCTTCCCATTGCTCCCCGTTCTCTTTATCTGCATATGTATACGTACCTATTTCCGTGCACATGCGATGAACAGAATGCAAATGAATAGTGGATGAGTGTGGGATCGATCATTATCCCTCGTTCCGCCCTCTCAAGCAGGTCGCTCAGGTAGCACAGGTGTCGAAAGCAGGACCTCACCATATAGCGAGCCGTGTACTCATCGATGACAAAGAGTTGGCCCGCGCTGAACCAGCCGAGTGAGCAGTAGGGGTCGGCTAGTCGATAGTCCAAGGTGAGCGTCTGCAGGTGTCGAAACAAAGCGTGGTGGTCGAAGCGGTTGGGATCAGCCGAGATCAGCTCCTCCATGCCATGACGTCGCGCCCGTTCGGTGTCGCCGTGAACGCGCGTGATATGCGCGTTTCGGGCGGCCGTTGGCGGTTGACTTGTGTGGGCACGTGTGGGCGGGCTCGGCTTGTGAGCCTGTCCGGTTGCGCGGTAAAGCGCCTGGACCCACAGGTGGCAATCGGCCTCTTCAACGGAGCCGAATGCCACGGCATCGCCCTCGCGTACCGCATTGAAAAAGAACCGCCCCCCCTCGCCGGGCGGCGCCGCTTCATCGGGGGTGTAGTCGACCGTGTAGCCGTCCAACTGCATTAGTTCGTTTGGTGACGAGCTCTTCTCTCGGTATGAGCACATGGCAAAAGTGTACTGAGAAACCTGGACGAGCACAAAGTATCGCTTCTTCCATTTTTTCCAGACGTTCCGCCCTTGCGCGTAAAGGTAGCCGGCGTGTTTCATATTCTGCGGCCTCTCCATACGTATCGTAATCCGGATCTGAAGATCTTGATCTGGGGCATTTTTTGGTGCCTGCATTCGGTACCACTCGGCGCCGCACTTCCCTCCCATCGGTGTAGGGCGTATTTGCACTTTTCCTACAATAATTGTATTAATAATATTATATCAATAACAATTTAAAATAATAATAATAACAATATCAAAAATGAGGCGCTGAAAAAGTTGGAACCTACCTATGGTGCACAAGTTGGGAGAACTAGTAAAACAGTACGGGTTGTGTGGAACTTTTGAAAATATAGAAAGATAAATCAAATCAAAATGGAAACTGATGCTAGGTTGACTGGTGACTAAGTTGGCACCCATGTTCCTAACTACACGACATCTGGCTCTGTTACAGATTTCGCCTCAACAGATGCTCGTGTTTGGACGCGAGCCCTATCGGCAATGCGGCTTCGTTAAAGTGGTTAATGCAAGACTAGCAGCGTAAGCTGAACATGTTTGACACTATTAATAGTTCTCGTGCAAAGCTTACGGGAACCTAGGTCTCTAGCATTAACAAAGCCGGCAGTGGCTTGTTCCGGTTCGTAAACAGTAAAGCTTTGTAATAAAGCTGTCCGTTGGCTGTATTGACCGCAAACAAGAACTTAGGTTAAAGCCAGGACAGGTTTCCCATTTGATACCGTTCCCATCGTCATCTATAAAAGGTTCTATGTGACCGCCCCTTTTGTAAAGTATGATCTAAACTAGCAGTTTGGATAAAAGGTATAAGAAAACTTAGCTAAGTTCGTATGACTTGCGTGTGGGTAACAGGTCAGGCACGTTTCAGTTAGGCCGATGTGCCCTGCCCTGCCCTGCACACACACACACAAACACAGAGACACACAGACAAACACGCGCTCATACGAAATTATCGTAGGTCTATTTTTGTCTAAATACACATGTGGCGCATGTGGTATTATGAAAACTTACCTAATTCCTTGTCATCCAAAGAGAGCAGACCAGGGCTCTCTGTGTATAACTTGACCTTTACGATGGGTAAGGGGTGCGAAGTCGTGAAATCGCCTTGGGTATCCCACATGGGCTTTGCTGCTTCTGCCATATCCGTTTGCAGTTTTTCTCCGCCCTGAAACAAACAACAATCCCTCAGTCGGCGTTTTGGCGGCGTACATAGTTTGAGTGAACTGGAAGAGCGTCCAATAAGGGTACGGGTGTCGAGTCGGCTTTTGGCCGATGTTTAGTTGTCTCGATCGCATATATGATGACATCCTCTTATTTTTTTGTGGCTTAGGAAATTTAGTTCATTCATACTTCCGACGATTGATCCTGCTCGAAACATTGTATAATTATTAAATAGTACAATCGATTGGAGTAATCACGCATTAGTCATAATTTTGTAAAATGTGGGTAAGTTTGCATCAGTGTGTCAGATGTTAAGGTAGGGGCGTCTAGGCGACAGTTACGGACGTGAAATTTACCACAATGGGCGTACTACCACATACATTATTACATCTATGGCACTTGTGGTGAAAGGAAGCTACATACAGAGCTTATGCTCAAAACAGGTCTTTTATAACTTGCAGCTGGCGAACGGTCCCTATAAGCTAGCTCCCTTTGTGACGAACACCATGCTGTTAGGTTGATTCAATACTTCCATGTAACTCACGTAAAGTCAGTCTAGCCAGCTTTCAGCAAGTTAGTTGGCCAGTTAGTTGGGTATCTAGAGAAGCTGGCTTAGCCATAGTCTACTCAGTACATGTATCTAAAATTCCGCTACTTCGCTGTAGATTGGGCGTATTCTATTACGAACGGGATGACAATGACTGTAGCTCTGCCATCGCAAAGTGTGTTATTCACGTCGTCAACGCAATCCTTCTACTTATTTTCCCGTAAACATACTTTTTCTCGCGTCTGCACTAGCGCAAGTAATATCTAAGCGCTTCGTGCACTTTTTTTTACAACGTCAGAGGCAAGTTCTGCATGAAGCTTCGTGTCATACCATGGAACGATATGTACTTTCCACGTGGTCCCCTCGAACTGGGGCAATTTATTGTAAACAACGACGAAAAGAGGTACATGATACCCGGCGTGCAGAAACGTGAGAAATGATCTGTTACCTCGTTTCGGACGTAGTCCCCGAAGGAACCGTTGAGGCGTCCGTCTGTAATAGTAGTAAGACTATGGAAGTATCTGTAGACTGTGTGGGCCAACTCAATCGCGGTGACCGCTTGAACGTAGTCACAGGTGCGATGCCTACCAACGACGTTGGAAAAGTATGTTGTTGAACTTAATTAGATCGGATAGGTTTAATAAGGCGGTGAGCACGGATTACACGGTGCGGGTCCAACTTTGTTTGTCGTGCTACCCACAAGGTAGGAGGTTGGGTAAGCATGGTAATACCAGGCGTCTTTACTCAGATATGTTCATCTATTACATGATCTCGACAGGACTTACGCTAAACCCTTTACGCTCCGACGTGTTCAGTAGTTGAGACAGAACATACAAACGTTACAGTGATATGCATGTACATGTAAAGCTGTTGCCCAAAAGGCTGCGTATCCTGCCTGTGCACAGAGCGGTGTAGGAGAACATGTGTGAGGTGTTTGTGGCCGCAACCAAAACACGTATCTATATTACGATTACGAAGACGTATCGAATCCGTAGAAGGTTAAATGACAGTCACGGGGGAACATTCTCTCAGTATAGCTTCCCTTACAGTATCATATGCCTCGCAAGTCGGACGAGAAAGCAATTAAATTATTTGGTCTTACATTTCCAATCATCACAGGTTTGAGAAAGCTACATTTACAAACAGTTTATATATAAAACAGCCATACTGTCATATAAAGTATCGTCTGGGGTGTGTAACGACCTTGTGCCTCACTTTCTACGTTTTCGAAATTAGTTGTAGATTGAAATCAAGATAGTGGCTATTGGCTTTGATATAACGTTGACGAGAGGGAAATGAGCTACCTCGACCTCCATCGTGCAGTAGACGATCCGGTTGGCTGCGAGCGACTTTAGTCCTTTAACTTCGGTGACAATCACCTCTAAGTTAAAATTAAGCACGATGTCGAATTTTGACAACGTTGGCTCTGAGTCCTCGCTTGCAACGCCCTCCTTATTCAGGGATGCTTGACTTCTGCAAAGATGAACGACGAAAAACACAAGGAAGTAGATATCTAATTAGATACGAAGTAAAACTATATCTGTCTAAACTGTACAAATCATTTATTCTGTCAATTATGTGTACGTACTTCTAAATACAGTTATTATAGGTTGCTTTCGTGATATCAGCAATGTAAACGCTTAAGCGTTCAGCGGCCGTAGGGTTCAAGGCTAACTGTGAGCGATATTTTTAAAGGGGACGCTGGCTTATTAGCTACTAACATCGGGTCTTACCCATCTACCTGTAAACTATCAAAGCGTAGCCCCAATGCACAGTTGAAACGTAAAGGGATTTGACGCATAGTCAAAAAAATAAGGCGAATGACAAAGTTGGTTTGGGCAAGACTTGTCGAGAATTCGGTTTTAGTGCACCGTCCACTTCACAATATAACACAATAGGGAAAATAAAGATGTCGCAAAAAATAACAAAAATAAACAGTAACACTGCATATATCGAGTTCTTTTATCGTTATTGTTTTCATTTGTAATACGGTTAATAGTATACCGAGTGTACAAAACAAAACAAGAAAATGTTACGCAAGTATCCAAGCAGAGCATGCGGTGCAGCATAAGGCACCCAGGTGCGGGGTCCAAGTTGGCGACCGGAGATACACGATACAGCAGCGACGCAGAAGGCCCAAACCGCATGTGAAGACTGAAGGTGACTCGCTGAACGTTCCCCTTTCAGAAACATTCCAACTTTCATAGCTTTGTAAAATTTTGTGGAATGACACGCGCAATCAGGGACCAAGCGCGGTGCCAAAGTGACACGGGTGAAACAGATGAAACAAATTGATTAGCCAAAAACAATAAACCCAAAATTATATATATATATATATATATGCATACGCCAAACCTAATATATGGTTAACTAATCATCGAACGCAAAACTTGATAAGAAAAATAAATTTACATGTCGGTATTCTATGTCGAGGATGTTCAATCGCTAGATAATTTTCTGCTTACGTTACTGACAAAATTTTCGCTACTGACAAAGTAATCTCGCGATTGACAGTTAGTCTTCACTAACATATAGAATGGTGAAGACAGCTTACATTGCGGTTTAACCTTTACACAATGGTGCTGCTATACGGCGTAAGGGACAAGCTCCAGTATATGTACATATAGGGGAACATTAATTTACGCAATGCTTTTAACTTGGAAAACCCACCAGACTGGTTCAATAGAATAAAATCTTGAATAATTTTGGGCGAATTCCATAGGTAGATGATAATAAGAGCTTGTCAACCCATAAGGTTTGCTTTGTATATACGACCTATAGTGATGTATTTAGTTGCAGTGCACGATATGCACGCTCTATAATTAAGGAACTATTGTTGACATGCTGAACGCGTACCGGAACGAAAATCCTGAAATGAACCTCATAATACTAATTTATCATCAAGCTGGTTCGACAATGTCCGAGTTCGCCATGCAATCAAAACTACTATGTACTGTTTGTCCAGCCGCGGTGACATTCCTTGAATATTAAGACTACGAGGTTCCGGACTTGACACATACACCTCGACTATTTTTACGGACCTCGATCGCATCGTCGCTTGCTACGTGATGGCCACAAAGGGCAACGGTCTAACAGAAGAGCTCACATACATGCAGATTTAAATCGAGACTGTCTGGGTTAGAGATGTAACAGGTTAACTAATAATTCTCAACAGGTAGGCTGAGGTTTTTCGCAATCGTGCGATTGGTTTCTAATGGAAAGTTCTCTAATAACGCTTAAGACGATGGCATAGGACGCGAGCGTTTGTACTTGGTAAGAACAACAAGGCTTGTCAGCCAGACAGATGGCTGGTCCTCATAAAATGACGTTGTTGGTTCTGTTCTCTTGTGACGCGGGCTGACTGGGCCACTATACATACAATCAGCACATAGCCTCAGATTACAGACCAGTGCAGAGTGTAGCTCAGATTGCGCATGCGTGCTGCAGAAAGGAATCGATTCAACATCAATGAGTGTGTTCGATACCTCGATAATCAACCGGTTTTTGCTGCGGCGATCCTGAGGCTTAATCGTAGATGTCCAAAAAAGGTGCTACTGTTTTAATCTCTAGGTTCCCGTAATCGCTTAGTGGATAACGTATTTGCCTGCTAATCTTAGGGACACGTTGTGGGTCCGAACTCGAGCATATACAGACTCGGTCTCGTACTAGGTCTGATTGATTCAATGGCGACAACGGACGTAAAACTCGAAACATAGAGGTTCCTGAGAACCTTTTTTTTTTTTTTTTTTTTGTAAACAATCCGGAAGTAAGCAATCTGGCAACTTAGCTTTCTACTTTGAAAATTGTCGTGAGAACAGGGATGGCGTTTTGCACATCTATCAACATCTACTCTGTGGACGGCGCGCGCTTTAGACATCTAAGATTCAATGGCAGAGCCTGTGCTTTGCGGGGCGGCTTTGTGCATTCGGATTCTGGATCTTATGCTGATGACGCGCCTGAGAAACAGGCCAGAGAATCGGGAGGAACAATCATTTAGGAGTTATTCAGGTCACGAAAACTGTCGGTGACTAATTGAATAAGCTTTTCCTTCAATCAAGTGTTTCCTATAGTGGTATTTATGGTACTTCGTTATCATAATGTCCACGGGGAGGCACCGCAATCATTGACATATTATTAGTTCGGAGGGACCGAACCTTCCGCGGCTTGTTTCCACCGCAACTTTACCACTTTGCCTGCCCTTGTGAGAACAAGCCAGTCTGAACTAACGAGATCACACTGCGCAACGGGCGTAAGGTGTTTCATCTGCGCATGTACTTTTGAGAAGCGCAGAATAGTTATGTACTTGTGGTGTTTAGGAATGAAGTTCCGGACTTCTTGACAGGAGCTCGCGTTATTTGTTCGTAGGGCTAAATTGCCCTGTGTCGGTCTCTCAAATTTTAAATAATAGAACAGTGGAGAGCCAAGCTAATAGTGTCCACATTTGGGTTCAGCCCATTAGAGAAGTACTGAAGTGTTCAGGACCGCGTCGCTTAATTCCCTTCTTGCAAGAGGCCCTGCCATGTCCCTAGGCTACAGAATAAATGACACTTAAGTTGACAAGGCTCACTTACTATTGGTGGTATTTCCGATACTACAGTCCTTAGTACAGGTAGCGTCAACTGATGAAATTATAACAGGCTTTCATTTCTGCCTTGAAAAGAGTCGTGTCGTTGAACGGTAAGCCAGCCATTTGGTTGGAAAAGCCCTCGAGAAAGCGTTAAAGCTAGTAACATCCCTGAGGGATAAAGATTCCTAGGTAAGCAGTTTCGTATTTGTCCCTTCTTTGTGCTAAAGTTTCCAGCCCAGAAACAGAACATTGTACTCCTATTTGCGATTACCCTGTCTAATCTAGAGGATTGTCATTGTTGATAGCGGTTTCAACTAATGAAGAAAACAATTCTAAAAACTGCATCTAAAAAGCCTGTTGAAAGTGATATACCTGGTGCTGGCAGAATAATCCGTTTATCAGATCCATCTATACTTAGAATCTGTAAGAGCCATGTGAGCTAATTTTTCATATATGGTCAAGGCCCACATATATAGCTTGTGCATAGTACCTGTGAGTACGACGAACTGGATTCGGCCAAGAGAAACCATCTGTTAAGACTGGATCCGTGAGCTGTCCGATCTTTCAAAGCGAGGTGACAGAGGAGCGATTTTTTTCAGCCCACGTACAGCAAAGATATCTGATCATGCCGGCTCTCTGTTGTGTTGCCATTAGAGACGTAATGCATTTACTGGAGTCGCCCTCATAAATCGTAACGCACGAGCAGCGGAAAATGGGTTGCCACATACTGACGTAGTGCTACGAAACATCTCCGCAGTGTCAACCTCAGTGAAGAAATATGATTCGAAGTCTCATGAAGTATGAAGTTCTGAAAACTGTTTTTCCCCAAGCAAGGTAAAGGGATTTCGATTGAACAGGCTTTGATAGGGAGGAGTATATCGTGCCACGCATGAAGAGAGTCAATCTGGACGTCCACACTTTTTCATAACGTATAGGGGCCTGTTGCATCTACGAAATACGAAGGCTTAGCATATGTTTTGAGGCTTTGAAGGTTCTTTGAAGTTCTTCAACCATCTCAAAACGGAAACGCTACTGTGCCTATACCATAGCTATATATGTATAT